CTGAGAGTCACCAGAGATAAGGAGAGAGCAGGAGCTTCATCAGCCCTTCAGTAGGAAACCGGAAATCAGCACCTGTCCTGCCCCACCCTTCACAGAAACCCTGGGGGGCACTCTCCTGATTCACTTTCCTTTCTTCCTTCTCCCCCAAATTCCAGCAGCCCACCCCTACTGGAGATTTGGCAGGACGAAAAGTTTTCACTCTGGCCCCCACCCCACCTCAACTGGCAGCTTCTAGCTTGCTGCCTTTGCCCAGACATGGCAGAGGGGCACTGGCAGCTTGGAGATGGAGTTGATTTTCCCTTTGGCACTGCAGGAGTTGGGGACTGGGTGAGGGGAGAGGGCAGAGAGGCACGTCCAGACATGGGGCTAAGGGAGAATTTGACTTCCCTAGAATGTGGGGTCACTACATTAAGAATCATAAGGTAAACAGTGAGCCCCAGGAGCCGTTTGTAAAGGCTGCTCCCCACCTGGGCTGGATCTGCTGGGAACTGCCCACAGTTCCTGCAAGCCAGCGCCTTAGAGACTCCTTGCTGCGGCCGGGGCGGGGGGGGGGCAGGGGGGGGAATGACCCTGTAGAACCCTCTCTCCAGCCATACTAAGAGGCTGTTCCTCTTCATCAGCGCCTTCCTCATCCTTCTGTAACTACAGGCTCTCCTCCTTCCCTCTCCTACCTACTTTCCTCTCTGTCTCCTCCCTCCTTTCACAGGTCCCTTCTCCTTTATCCTTCCTTTCTCTCCCCCTCAGCCCTCCTTCCTTCTCTTTCTCAACCCTCTTCCCTCTCTCTTCATTGAGGCTGCTTTCCCCCTGACTCAGCAAGGTGCTTTATAAGGTGCCGAGGGGGCTCAGCCAAATCCAAACCACATTGTCTGCAAAGCCTTTCCACTAGGGGCAAGCCATGGAACTGCACAGCCCAAGCTGGGCTTTCAGGCTGCTCCCCTTCCCTTCCTTGCTCCCTTCTAGGAGACCTCTTGCTCCACTCTGGGTCAGTTACTTGTGGGCATCTGCCTTCTTGACCTTGGCATGAGCATCAAGAGATGGTTAGGCTCATTGGCCAAGAATGTCATTGAAACTCCAGAGCCCTGGCTGGTGGAGGGGTGGGGCGGTGGGGGAGGGAGGCCTAAGCACTTTTCACAAGGGCCCCTCCAAGGCACTTTTCATCAGAGCAGCTACTGATGCTCTAGAGTCCCCTGCCCCCACCAGAGACCAGCTCTCCATTCTCAGCTTTTTCTTCTTGTTCAGAAAAAAAAGGTGGGGGGGATGAGGGAGAGAGAAAGGAAGGGAGAGAGGGAAAAAATAGAAAGAAACAACCCAACAACAAAGTCTGTCCCACTCCAGTGAGGTAATTGAAAACAAACTTCTTCCCCACCCCCCCCACCCCCCCCCACCTCAGTTCTCCAGTGCAGAAAAGGGAAGTGCTGCCCTGGGAAGCCAGCACTGGCCATGACTGATGCCTACTCTGACCCACAGGCCAGAGGGGCCGTGCTAGACTGGCAGAGTGCCCTCCTTCCCCAGGGGCACCAGCAAGAGTGGGGTATGAATGTCTCCTGCCACTCCAGAGACAGGCATCACCTTCCAGGTCTGACTGCCACCCTGACTGGCCCTGTTGAGATTACAAATAAACAGCAACACAGCAACTTACTATCAGATGACTTAATTAGTGATATGCTTCTGCAAACACCCAAGGCTTGGGGACCAAATGACTGTCCCCCAAGAAAAATCACAGAATGGGGCTGTCTCCAAGCCCCAGATGACAGCTGTTTCCTCTGCACTAGCTCTCTTGTTCGCTCACTTTCCCTGGCAGCCCTTTGGAGAGGGAGGAAGGAGGAGGGAAGGAGACCCTCCTGGGAGGGTCTGGGCTTATGGGTCCCCTAGGTCTCCCACTCAGAAAGTCCCAGCCCAGGCCTGAGGGGAAGGAGGGAGAGTGCTCCTTGCCAAACCACCCCTACCTCACCACCGGAAAAACCAACAACCCAAAACCCCAAAGGGAAGAGGATGCCAAATGTCTCGATGGGGAAGCATTTCACAAACGGGATGCTGGGTCTGTCCATGGCCTTGAATCTGTGAGTTCTCGCTGAGTCACCCGTGAAGCCTCTGGTGTTGAAACTGGTCCGGTGCCTTGTGCTGATTAATGAATTACAAATCCCCCACCCATGTGCACTCTCCCTGGTCACTGGGAAGAATGAAAACCCTTGTGAACTTGAGTGAGAAGCTGGGCCCCGGTGCCCTCTCCACTCCTCAGGGGGCATTGTGAGCTGGTTAGTCACCTGCCCCAGTCCCTGGCGCCTCACTTAGCTCCAGCTTTTGGAAATGGGACAAGTGGCGGGACAATAGGCAAGGGGGGCGGTCAGCCCAGACAAAGGGCAGCAGGAAAAACACCATCACTTGCTTGGAGGCCAGCTTGCTGGCATTTGAGAGAATGTGTCATTGCATTTACTCAAGTGGGAGGGGGAGGAGAGGTTAGAAATGAAGAGGCAGAGGTAGGGTGGGCACCGGGACCCTAAACCCGGTAGGGAGCAGAGGGAAGGAGGCCAGTATGCCCTGGCCCACACCAAGAGAGAAGCCACACCAAGGCCAGCTCCCTCTCCAAGCTCTCAAGAGTTTGCAGAGGGACGATGCCCTCCCTGCCCCCTCCCCCAGGAGGCCTAGGGTGGTACCGTCAGCCTTGCCTCACCTCACCCCCCCCCTCAGTGTTGTGGGAGGGAAAGGAGCCCCAGAAGCCCTCCCTTCCCTCCTCCCCCCTCTTCCCCCCACCCGGGGAGGGCTGCTACAATTTGTGGTTACAGCTTTACACGTCAGAAAAAAAAAAAAAAAAGTTTGCAGAATGTCCCACACCGAAAAAAAAAATGCGAAACCGAGGGAAAAAAACCTGCGAGTGGGCCTGGCGGATGGGATTATTAAAGCTTCGCCGGAGCCGCGGCTCGCCCTCCCACTCCGCCAGCCTCTGGGAGAGGAGCCGCGCCCGGCCGGCCCGGCCCCCAGCCCCATGGACCTCCGAGCAGGTAGGAGCCAGGCGTCCGAGGCCTCGGCCTCTGCCCCCGCCCAGCAGCAGTGAGATCCGGTTCCCGTCCTCCTCCCCACCCTCGGAGCCCCAGCCCGGGGCCCGGCCGGGAAGCAGAGCTCCGGCTGGGGAGGTTCGGCCGGGCGCCCTCGAGAGGGGCCGGGTGGGGACGCGGCATTCCTGGAGTCCGCTCGGCGGAGCCGAGAGGTGGCCGAGAGCGCGGCGGGGAGTCCGGGCAACTCTCAGACCTGGACGGACGGCCACCTGGAGCCGCGGCGAGGCGGGGTCCTGGAACCCGCGGACACAGAGCCCCTCGCCAGAGTCGGGGCGAGCGAGTCCGAGGCGGGCAGCGAGGGTGCGGGGAGGGGGGGACGCGGCGCGAGGGAGGAGGGGGCCAGCAGAGGAAGAGGGCGGGCGGGAGGCAGAGGGGGAGCCCGCGGCCGAGCAGCGGGAGGCGAGGGGAGGCCGACACCTCGGGCCGCGCGGAACTCCTTCCTCGGCCCGCGGGGAGGGGAGGAGGGCGCGCGAGGGGAGGGCGGAGGGCAGAGGAAGCCTGGCTGGGCCGGGCGGCCGGGCCGCGGGACTCCCGCTGCAACCGCCCGGGAGCCGGGGGCAGGTAGGGGCGGCCGGGGCCCCGGGCCCACGGTGGCCTGGGAGTGATTACTGCGGGAGGGCGCTGTGGGGGGAGACGCAGCCCGCTGGACCTAGCAGGGAAGAGTGCGTCCGCGGCCCGGGAGCGTGAGAGCTGCCGCAGCCCCCTCAAGCGACTGCTTGGCCAGGCGGCCGGTGGCAGGAGGGCGGGCCGGGCGGAGAGCGGACGCGCCGGAGCGGGCAATGGCTCAGCCGAGCCCCGAAGCCCGGCGCCCGGACCCCGCCTCCGCCCCCGCCGCCGCCGGGAAGGGAGCGGACGGGGGCGGGGCGGGGCCGGGGGCGCCGGGGCCACACAAGGGGAAGGCGCCACCGCTGCCGGGAGGGTCCGAGAGCGAGAGGTCACGGCTGAGAAGGTAGGGCCAGCCAACTGCCGACTCCCGCCGCCGCAGTTCTCGGGGCTGAGCCCCTCGAGCAAGGTCCGCGCAGCTCCTCCGGAGTCACCACACCCATGTTCTTACCTATCTCTCTATTACTCTGGGCTCCGAGAGGCTTCCCTTCGGGAGACCCCCGACCCCTGTGCTCTCCAGAGCCCAGCGGCAGGAAGAACCTGCCAAAAGAGGAAGGAGGGCAGACGGAGGATGTATGGCAGCGCAGTCCGACACTTAGAGACTGGAGGTGGGGAGCATCAGGCGCGCGCTTCTCTCTGCCCGAGTCTGACCTGGGAAATCTCTGGCTTTCAGTGTCTCTGACAGGTATCAGCCTCAGTCTGGTACATACTGCCATCCCGTCCGCCCGCACCACGGGAAACAAGTTCTTATCCCCTAACCGAGAAGGTGCACTCCTCTAGCTCTCGTGTCCTGTGATCACACTTCCAGGCAGAGGAGGAACAACTAGAAATGGCAGCCACTGTCACTGGGCAGCCCCACAAGTGTCTGCTGACTGGAGGAATGGGCCCCCGACTGCACACTGAAGGTTTCCAATTCACACTTCTGCAAGCCACCCCTCTACACTAGCTACTGATTCCTGACACTTCACATTCCTCCCCATAATCCCACCTGCCTGTTCACACCCTGGCTCCCGCACACTGCACACTCTCCAGCCCCTCCCACACCCCTCTGTATGCTCTTGACCACAACGCCCTTTCCAGTTCACCCACACACAAGCTCTGGAGTATTTCCTTCACCACCGCCCCCTCCCCTGGCGGCTTCTGGCTTCAGTGGGCTGCTCAGCCGTGTGGCTGTGGCTTCACTCTCATCTCCCAGAGTACACCAAGAGCCCTCTTGTGGCACAGCAGAGCAGCTTTTCCCTCAGCCTAAGCGCAACTCATGGGTTGACTTCACAAGGAAAGGACTTTCTTGCTTCTGCGTCTTTCCCTGACCCCAGTTTCTTCTATGTTTTGGATTAGAAGGGAAGAGAAAGGGGAAAATGGGAATGTTGGAAAGGACACAGAGATGGAGCCCCACAGGATTCAGCTGGGAGGAACTTTAGCAAGCACAGTGTGATCTCCTTATGGAAGCCCATTGGCACCACATGGGTTCATGGCCGAGCTAGGTCTCCTGACTTCCAGGCCCACCTTCCCAGGAATGCTCCCATTCCATTCCTCACCAGCCTTGGGAGAAGGGAACCCGAGAAGGCAGATGTGAAGGAAGGAAGAAACAGAAGGGGGCAGCCAGTCTTGAGGATGGAAAGACTAGGTTTCGAGGGCCTTTCTCTGGGTAGGACCCCTGCACCTCACTACTTCTTAGGCTACTTCCTCCAGCTCCCCTCAATGGACTCCTCCAAAGTCACCCAGATGCTAGTTCTGATCTGCACAGAGAGCACGACCTTTCCTTCTGGTTCCCATATTTAGCCTAGACTACAGGCCTTCTGGACTCAACGTCTAGGACTTACAGCTGTTAGTCCCTAGTCCCAGGTGCAGTCTCCCTGATCTACCCTGGACATCTGCACTGCTGAGCCCCCCACCCTCACTCGAGGGTGGTCAGCCTGTGGGATGGGCCAGGAGCAGAAGGCCTGTGTGTATAGCGTATGGGGGTGGCCCTTGGGCGTGTGTGTGTGTGTGTGTGTGTGTGTGTGTGTGTGTTCATGAGGGGGCCTGGTTTCCCAGGGCCCAGGGATCTGGATGGAATTAGGGGCTGGCCCTGGCAGGGGCCAGGATGGGGAGTGTAGGGGTGCTGGAGCAGGAAACGTGAGCTGCGCTCATTAGCCCCTCACGTGCTCAGCCGGATTTATAAACACAAGTAGAAGGGGATGTAAACAATCAGTGGGCAGCAGCCAGAGGCAGAGCTGGGACTGGGGACCAAGGCTGGGGGATGGGTCTGGGATGCAGCCTGATGGTAGCCTCCACCTGCATACCATGAGCTGGAGAGGAAAGTCAAGAGCTGGGCTCTAGCAATCTGCCCCTGGGCACTGGGAGCCTCGGGCTCAGTGCTCACACTGAGCTCAGGTGTCCAGGCCTTCCAGCTTGGCTGCCTGAGATATGGGTACATCTTGCCCAAGATCAGAGCTGCCATAGGACAGAGCAGAGCCCTCTACTTCACCTGCCCCTTTCTCCTCTGCTGACCTCCGCTCTGATCCCTACGACTCCCGACTCCCATGTGCTTCTTTCTGCTTCTCTCTAGGACTGGTCAGTAGGCTCCTTCTGTTCTCCTGTGTCCCCCCACCCCCCAGCCTGCAGTGACACGGTTACCTCAGAACTGAAATATTCCTGGAAACACCGGCCTGGTCTGGTTAATTTCATGAGCCGTTTTTCTGCCCAGATGACTTAGCTTTTGTTTATCCAAAGGCTTTTTCCCCCCTGTTGTCCCAGTGTAAGGAGCTCTTCTCCCCAGGGATGTCCCACAGGGCCCAGGAAGGGAGGGGGAGACATGCTTCAGGCTGGGCTCCTGACTGTACCTCCTGTTATGGGACAGACAGAGCCTAGTCCAGGATTTTCTGGATGACAGGGCTGCCTCCGGCAGGGTGGGGTGAAAAGGCCAGCCAAGCCTCTACTTTCTGCTTTGGCAGGACTTTGGCAATGCCACTAACTTCCAGCAAAGGCATACTCCATCCTAAAAGCTGTTTTGAGGCTGGAAGAGCCACTTATCATGGTCTCTCAAACTAACCCTTCATGATACCCACAGGGTCCTACAGGAGGCTTAGCCACATGCTCAGGGCTGAGTACAGAGGAGGAGGACTTGGACATATTTGGGGATTCAATGATCAAGGACTAGAAAGGAAAAACAGTCAGGTAAGAAGTAGGGAAAGGACCAGGGAAGGAACACCGGCTGCAGATAGGAGAGAGAAAAGTGGAGCCTGTTTGCCCAGGAAGCAGTTAAGTGTCTGACCCTGCTGTCTGAAAACACATGTGAACTTACACACATATGTGCACGTGTGCATGTGCGTGTACCCGCTCTCACACATACACACACACTCAAAGATCCTTTCATTCCAAAGACCAGGGGTCCTATGCTCCACCTGCAGAGCTAGCTAGCCAGCTAGTCAAGCACCTGCTAGTCTGCCCTGAGTGTTTGTGCCATAGCAAAAAGCCTCGGCTGCCTCCTGTATTCTCAATGTGATAGACCCTCTAAAGCCCTAAAGACTGAGCATTATGACAGACTCTAACCCTAATCTAGTCTTCATGCCTTCTTAACGCCACACCCTATCCCCAGTCTGAATACAGTCAGGTTGTTAAGCCGATCCACTTGTTTCTACGAAACATGTCATTATAGAAAAATCTGGAAGTATGAAATGTAAACTAGAGGAAAGAAACCACTTGATCTCATACCTATCTAAGCTTAAAATCCAAAATAGCCCTGCTTTTTGTGACATGCCAAACACCATTCTATCTGACGTGTAAAGCAACAAATTCACAGATCTTGAAGACAAACCTTCTGCCTGCCCAGACCTAACCACAACCCCCTCCTGGACTCAAATCTCAACCACACTCATTCAACCAAATCCCAAATCTAAATTCATCTGAAATGTTAAGACTAACCTAGTCCTCAAGTCTAACTTAGCCCATTGGTAATTACACTCCTACCCTGACCTAGCCCAGATAGGCACTGATTTTGATCTTGGACCTCACCTAAAAAGCCATTTAGAAAAGCACGTTTCCCACCTGACTCTGGCCCTTTTCCCAGCCTCAACTCCTGGCTTCTGGGACTCAAACTCTCCACTTTCTTTTGTGGCTCAGCCTGCCTCTTTAAACTCTCCTCTTTCCGCTTGATGCTCTCCCAGTAAAGATAGGCAAGACACCGGCAGGGCCTGTTGGTACAAGCCCAGCATCCCTGCTACTCGGGAGGCTGAAGCAGGAAGATCATAAGTTCACAAGTAGCTTGGGAGACTTAGGGGGACCCTGTCTCAAAAAACAGAGAAGGGCTGGGGCTACAGTTAGGTGTTAGAACACTTGCCTGCATGAACAGGCCCTGGGTTTAATCCTAGCGCTACTGGAAAAAGAAGTAGAGGAAATCAAACTTGTACATTGCTACTAAGGGGAATGCTATGTCCTCTTATACTTCAACTAACCCCATCCTCCCCTCACAACACCCAGAAAACACCGTAGTGTACACCCGCCACCTCTAATCCACCAACCATCTTGGACCCTTCAGCTTGACCTTGGCTGTGGAACCTTGGCTTTTCACTCTTGCACAGGGCTCACTGCTCGCAGCTTGCCAGAGCTAACATATGCCATATCTCCACCCCCTAGTTCCTGCGGCAGTGGGACTAGTTCCTGCAAGGCATGGAGAAGACGCCGGGACACAACTGGGACTCCAGCGTATTGATACAAAGTCCCTAAAGCCTGGCCTGCCCCTCTGAGTACACACATGCATACATATTTGGCACATATAGGGACATACATGCCAAAGACTTTTAGCTGACAGATGCAGTCAAGTATCTACTGATAGACATGAATGCCAGGACTTACATACTCCCACATACACTCCTGGACCAGCAGTGTTACCCTCCCCCTCCCATCTGGTCTCTCACCCCCCTTCCTAGCCCAAGGTGGGGACAGACACCTGAGGGGCTGCCAGCTGTTCCCCACTTGGGCCAGGGCCCTCCCTCATACTTCTTAACCACCCTGTCCACAGGGGACTCGTGGGGGATGCTAGCTTGCCTATGCGCAGTGCTGTGGCACCTCCCTGCAGTGCCAGCTCTTAATCGCACGGGAGATCCAGGCCCTGGCCCCTCCATCCAGAAAACCTATGACCTCACCCGCTACCTGGAGCACCAACTCCGCAGCTTGGCTGGGACCTACGTGAGTATCCCGTTTACTTTGGTCACTTGGCAAAGGGGGGGGTAGAGGCTTTGGAGAAGGGAGGGCATGGTGTAGGGGTCTTGATGAATGATGGGGTGATCGGAGATCCTTTGGGTCAACACAGTGTCTCCATCTGGCTTATCTCCTGCCCTTCCCTCTCAGGTGCTCCCCCCCCATCCTGGCCCCAGGACTAGGCATGTGGGCAGGCCTCGAACCCGCCTTGGCCCATTGCCCCATTGGCTGCCAGCCCAGTTGCCTGCCTCCCCCTGGGGGCTGGGGAAGTCTCCTCTGTTTACACCGTGTTGTGGTGTCTCTTGCAAGGGTGGGGCTGGGTGGGGACAGAGGGGCCCCACCTTCTATGCTTGTGTTCCAGCTCGCCTCTCCCCCCAGACCTGGGGCCCTGTTGTTCTAGACCCATGGGCCTCCCTCTGTCTGCCTCACCCATCCTTCACAGGCCTCTTAGGGGGTCGGAGGAGGGGTCTACAAAGAATCTCGGGCAGTCATGACAAGGGGTTCAGGATGTGGAGGGTGGTTACACCAGAAGAATTTGTGGATAGTCCAGAGATATTCCTAGAGCCCAGGAGAAAAGGAAAGAGGATTGGAGGCGCTGAGGACCATGGGGAACAGGCCCCTCTTCCCGTGTTCCTCTTCCACATCCCAGACCCCACTCCTGAGCCAGGGAAGAAAAAGGGAGGAGGGTGGCGGGGGAGCTGGCTCCAGCCCCAGGATACACCGAGGAAATTAGTTTGTCTCTGTGCTTGTCAGTGTGTGAGCCTCCCCCTGGGCCCTTGCCTACCCCAGGCCTCGCCCCTCTTCTCTTCCCTCCCAGTTGCACATCTCCCACATCCCCTTCCCTGGGCCTCAGGCTGTTCCCCTGAGGCATTGGCAAGGGCTTTGCCCTCTTCCCTAAGCTGTACTGCCTTCCATGCCCTTCCTCCTATCCTCTCTTGAGATTTCCTCAGTTTCTTCCTTTTACAGCTCTGCTTCTAGCAACTGAATCCTCTTCTTTGGGGTGTTGGTGAGTACATTATAATCCCTTGCCCCGTTGGCTTGAGGGATGGGGCCTGTTGAAGAGGAGTTCTGGTGTCACCAGATCCCTTTGCCTTTGATGCTGGCTGGTTTCCCTGCGCAGAAAACTTCTGCTTGAGTCTGCTACCCTTTCTAGTTCCGACCCTTTCTCTCCTGACTTCCTCTGCCAGATTTCTTGAAGGAGTCTTCTACACCCTCTGTCTCCACTTCCTCTCCACCTACTCATTTCTTAACCCCCTGCAATCTGGCTTCCAGGCCACGGCAACCGTCTGTCCCAGGTCATCAGGCACCTCCTTCTCACCAAACCCGACAGCATTTTCCACGGCTCACTTTCATGTTCTGCAACTGCCCTGCGGACCTCTGCTGCCTTCCTGAGCTCTTCCCTGGCCTGCACTCTCAGAGGCCACCTTCTACCTCTCCAGCCTGGCCTCCTGGCTCCTCGGGCTCCTCTTCTTCTCTGCCCTGCCCTATGGTGGGCACTCTACGCCCAGCCAATCAGCACGTCCTTCCTGAGTGGCTCCTTCGTGGTTTTCTCTTTCCACACCTGTCCATAGGTGTGCTTCACCTGTCACCTCCATGCAAATGACACACTTGCTGGAAAAACTCAGGAGGTCTGTGAACAGAGGCCTCCAAGTCAGGGGGCAAGAGCAATAGAAGCTTTGAGAGGAGGTCCCTCTCTGGTGGCGAGCTGGCAGCTCTGCTCTCTTCCTTCCCCATTGCCCTCTCCTTTTCACAGCTGAACTACCTGGGGCCCCCCTTCAACGAGCCTGACTTCAATCCTCCTCGGTTGGGGGCAGAGACTCTGCCCAGGGCCACTGTCAACTTGGAAGTGTGGCGAAGCCTCAATGACAAGCTGCGGCTGACCCAGAACTATGAGGCCTACAGCCACCTCCTGTGCTACTTACGTGGCCTCAACCGTCAAGCTGCCACAGCTGAACTTCGGCGCAGTCTGGCACATTTCTGTACCAGTCTCCAGGGTCTGCTAGGCAGCATTGCAGGTGTCATGGCAGCTCTTGGTTACCCACTGCCCCAGCCTCTGCCAGGGACTGAGCCAGCCTGGGCCCCTGGCCCTGCCCACAGTGACTTCCTCCAGAAGATGGATGACTTCTGGTTGCTGAAGGAGCTGCAGACCTGGTTGTGGCGCTCAGCCAAGGACCTGAACAGGCTGAAGAAGAAGATGCAGCCTCCGGTGGCGCCAGCCACCCTGCACCTGGAGGCCCACGGCTTCTGATCTCTGACCCTTAACGCCCCCACCCCCATCCCCAGTCAGCTGTGCCTCCATTCTGGGGTGAAAAAACCTGAGTACCAACATTTGTTGAGCCGGGAAACAGACAGTGGGAGCTCTGCCCTCCTTGGCCTTGGATGGGAAGTGTAGGCGTGTAGCTTGATAAGCCCTGTCTCCTGACTAGCTCCTGGGGTCCTAGGGTCTGGGAAGAAGGTCCAGTGGGTACCACCCTGTTAACACAGAGGTAGCGCTTGAGGGAGCTGAATGGCTCAGGTGGCTGTAAAGGCTCTCCCTCCTGCTTTCTGCTTGCCACTTGCCAGTACCCACTCAGTTCCTCATGTGGCACTTGCAGAAGCACACCTGAAGGGCATGGGTGGGGGCCACTGTAGCATGTGCCTTGCTGGGGTAAAGACTCTTGGCTTCCCTCCCTCTCCTTGGATGGGTGTTGCTCCCCTACCCTAATAACTACATATCCTGTTCAGGAAGCAAGGCAACCAGTCTAAAGAAGAGTGTGATAGAAGGTGGAGGGGGTGGGGCTATGCCGGAGGTGGCCTAGAAACCAGATGTAATATTAAAAGAAAAGGCCAGGGACAGACCAGCCCCAGCAGTCACCAAGGCAATTGGTGGCACAGGGCGGGAAGCAAAGCCATGTTGAGCATCAGGACCTTGCCTTGAATTTTCTTGCCGGCATCTCGGTGCCTCCTCTCTGCCCCCTTTCCCAGGGTATCTGTGGTTGCCTGGGCTGGGGAGGGCAGCCATAGCCACAGCCACAGGGTTTCCTGAAAGTTTACATTGCAGTAGCATTGTGGGGTGAGGGGGATGGCTCCCCCAGGCTCTATCCCCAGCCCACCCACTCATGACTCTAATTTTGTTGTATTAATATTTATTTATTTGGAGATGTTATTTATTAGATTATATTTATTGCAGAATTTCTATTCTTGTATTAACAAATAAAATGCTTTCCCCAGATCGTGGACTCTTTCCCAGCTGGCAATCTTCCTGGGGTATGTTGCTGGTGATCCTAGCCCTGCCTGCTGGGGTTCTTATTGTCTCTTTATACCATAGAGGTATAGGCTGGCCCTGGAGCAACACAGACTCCTGGAACCCATCCACTCCTTCGCCATACCCACAATGCCTTGGTCCTCCCAGATAAATGTATGTGTTTCATGGTGTCTGTCAGTCTTCCTTGTCTCTGGACTGCTTTACTAGTGTCCCAGATTTGTCTGGCCTTGAATTTCTCCACTCTAGCTCAACCTGCACTTGGTGGGGAGAACTGTTATGTTCCTCTCTGACTTACTAATCACTAACCCCTGACATTGAGTTCCAAGCTTTCCCAGGCTCCTCTAAGTGGCTGCCTGCTGGGGCCTTCATCTCACTCTTCTCCCAGGCAGGGTGATGGACAGCAGCCAATCAGTGTTCTTTACCCTATGAGTTTGTTTCCCTCCAATGTGAAAGCCTATTTGGGGAGAGAATACTTTCTGGACTGTAAGAGAATGGGAGGGATAATCTGAACTCCAGTCTCATTTTATGGCCTGTTAGCTGGATAACTTTAGACAAACTTTTCTAGTCGTTGGTTTCTCTCTCTGTAAAGTGGGGATAATTAGATATCTTTAGGCAATTGTTGGAGAGGGCAATAGAGATATTAAAGGTATTTGGCTATAACAGCAACCATTGTAGTAATTACAGATTAGCTGGGACAAATCCCTGTTTCATGACATACTAGTTGTGAGCTTCTGGGCAAATTAATGGGTTAATTGTTCCCAGGAAACACATGGATATTTTATGAGAGCCTCCTAGAGAGAATGCCTTAAGCAAGGAAAAAACAAATGATGGTAGTGCTGGTCAGTTGACAGATACTTTAAAGACCTAATTACCTGTCCTTCACCGTGCTGGCTGAGTATATTGAAACCAAAAGAAGACTCAGACCTAACTTGGCATCTGCCCTTGTGGAATTTGCAATCTGCTTGGGAAGAAAGAGCAGCTTCCCTGAAATAATGTCTAGAAGCCCAATTACATGATGTAGTGGACAAGCAAGTTCATGAGCCCTAGAAAAGGGTGAGGTGAGAGTGTAGGCAGAGGAGTTTCTGATTGTCTATGGACTAGCCTCAGCATCATGCCCTAAGTCACCTGGCCCAAGTGGAACATGCTGCTTCTATGGGCTGAGACATCTGTCCAGACACTCAGAATATGCTGCCCCTTTGCCTAATAAGACACACTAGAAAGGGCATCAGGCTTTCTCTACACACATGCAATACATATATCTTGGCCTGTGATATACAAATCATTAAGCAAAGAGCAGTGAGGAAGACATTAAGGAAAGCAAGGGTCCTGTCTTGTCAGAGTTCAGGAGATCATGCAGTATTAGCTGATAAGGTTTTTAAGGCTCCAAGTTGTCCTCTTTAACATTTTTCCTCCTCTCTCCCTTTATTCCTTTTCTCCCTCATCCTCCCTCTTTTTTCCTCTCCTTTCCCCCTTCTCTTCCTTCTCCTTCCCCCTCCCCAGCTTTTTTTCTCATTCTATAGCTTAGGCTGCCTTTAAACTTGGCAATTCTCTTGCCCCGACCTCTGCAGTGCTAGGTTAAAGAGTGGACACTACCATATTCTGCTCTTTCCTTCTTTGCTTTGTGCTGGCACCCAGCTCAGGCTCCAACCTAAAGGTGTTTTGTGAATGTATTCTGTAAGTGTGGAACAAAAAAAAATCTAGAAAAGGGAGCAGGGAGACCTCCCATAAACGTTAGGATATGGTAAAGCAGATCTGCTTACATGTAGAAAGACCTGGGCAATGGGCCAGGGAGATGGCCCAGTGGGTAACCGTGCCTGCTGCCAGGCCAAACCACCTGAGTTTGATCCCTGGAACCCACAGGACAGAAGAAGAGAACCAATACATACTAAGAAAGGTAGGAAGTCAAGCAGGCAGACCCATCAAATGTAAGTCTAGGGCAGAGAGCCGTGCCTCATGGGTGAGAGGCGTCGGCTGTGGGGAAGCAGCAGTGCTAAAGCATTGGTGCATGTAGTGCCTGGCCCACAGCAAGTGCTCAGCACACCTGCTGCTTAAAGTCACAGCACAGATTCAGTACCATTCTCAGAGAGCAGGAAGAGTTTGGACCGGCAGAGATGAGGCAAGACACAACTAACTCTCCTTTTCAGGAGCAAAGTATTTTGAGGCCAGGCTCCAGGATTGCTTAGTCATGCGTCCAGATAATGTTCAGCATAAGGCCTATCACAGTGAAGTCCTTAGCAATTGATTTAAACTGATGTAAAAGAGTTTTGAAGAGTTTAGAAGTTTAGAAGTTGAGAGCTGATCAGCAGACTCATGCTTTAGAGGAACTGAGAGAAGAAAGTAGAGAACACACTAGTGTAGGCAGTTAAAAAACACAGGCAAGTTGTTTTGAATATAGACCAGGCTTACCTAAAACTCAGTGATCCTCCTGCTTCAGTGTCCTAAGTGCTGGGATTATAGGCATGTGCCACCATGCACAACCCATAGGAATCTTTGAAATAGCAGGTGAGAGGCAGACAGCAAATTATGAATCCAAGAAAGATAGAGTGTAAAGAAAGCAGAAGTGAATACATATTCTCAGTGCCCTGTGCTTTACCATACAGGACACTGAGACACAGGTTGGTTCAAGGAAAACTTATCATTTGTCTGTTTTCTTTTTTTTTTAATATTTTATTTAATTATTATTTATATAGTATTTTACCTGCATGTGTGCCTGCATATAGGCCTGCATGCCAGAAGAGGGCACCAGATCTCATTTTAGATGGTTATGAGCCACCATATGGTTGCTGGGAATTGAACTTAGGACCTTTGGAAGTACAGCCAGTTCTCTGAGCCATTTTTCCAGCCCCCCCCCCCATTTGTCTGTTTTCAATAAAAGAGATCATGCTGGATATGATGGCTTGCACCTTTAATCCCAGCACTCTGGGAGGCAGAGGCAGGTGGATCTCTGAGTTCGAGGATAGCCTGGTCTACAGAGTAAGTTCCAGGACAGCCAAGGCTACACAGAGAAACCTTGTCTCGAAAAACCACACACACACACACGAGCACATGAGATCTAAACATGCTGCTACCAAATGTGGAGATTGGTAACTGAAGAGTGGAGTGGTTTGGGGTATAAACTGAAGAGATAAAAAAACAGAGAGCCCAAAAGCTTGCTGAGCAGCCACAGGGAAGAACCAGGTGATCTTAGCAAACACATCTTTCTTGTGAATCCCATTTGTGACATTTCCTGCCAAGCCAGAAACAGCTTGCCTGTACCCAGAGCATCCTCAGTACTGGCTCTTAGCCTCCAGAAAGCTGCCTTCTCTCCTAGGTGTGGGGTTTTGGTTCCTAGGCATCTTCTCCAACACAGGTGCATTTCCAAGCGTGGAAGACAACAGGGAGCTTTCCAATACACATGTGCTCTCTGGAGAGGACAAGGGGAAAGTCATCCCCTCTCATCTCCACTCTCACTCAGAACCTAGGACTTCTGGGGACAGTGCTCTGCCTCATAACATCGCAGGGATCCAGGTAGTCTTGCTGTGTGCCTTGGTTTCTCAATACCTGGGCTTCTGACTCTAAGACCTTACTTAAGAGTTGTAACCTGCCAGCGCTCAAGAGATGGTTCAGTTGTTAAGAGCACATACTACTCTTGCAGAGGACCCAAGTCTGATCCACAGTACCCACAGAGTGGCTCACAACGGCCTGTAATTTCAGCTCCAGGGGGATCTAATGCCTTTGGCCTCTATGAGAACCCGCACTCATATGCTCATACCCCCACACAAGAAAGAAAGTAACAAAAACAAAACAAGCGAAACACCAAAAACTAGAGCCCTGAAGTGCTCTCTGAACCTGTTCTCAACTGTGGCTACCAGGTAAGGCCACCACCCTAGCTTTATGTGTGAATTCCAGAGCTCCCCACATGAAGCATCTTCCAGGCCTGGCCCTGCCTTTGTTCCTTCTGCTGCTTACTCTGCTTGCAGTGTATGACACAATGGCTCACAATTGCTCAACAGTTCCATTTCGAGCGCCCTAGGGTCCCTTGTCTCTTGACTTTGCCATGCTGTCTTTCTGGTCCTTGGCCTTGAAAAATGCCCTCTCTTTACTATGCCTCCACCTCTTGCCTAAATGCATTGTCCCCTGAAGTCCTGTGTTCTGAGGGTTCGAAGGACTGAGTGGAGATGAGAGGGGACGACCTTCCCTCTTATCCTCTCCAGAGAGCACATGTATATTAGAAACCTCACTGTCATCTTCCACGCTTAGAAATGCACCTATGTTGGAGAAGATGTACAGGCGATGAAACCCCACACCTAGAAGAGAAGGCAGCTTCCTGGAGGTTAAGGCCAGTACTGAGGAGGCCCTGGGCAGAGGCAAATTACTATACCTCACCAGAGAATGACACAACATCTGGGACTCAGGGACCCCTCAGCAGCCAGGGAAGTCATTGTCACTCAAGCACCAATCTTATACAAACACATTCACCAGTTGGCACAGCCACAGCTACCCAAAATTGAGAAGGTCCTTTGTTTTCCTTAGCCTAGAGCACAAAAATCAGCATTTTGGGGCTGGCTGCATTGTTCCCTCCGAGTTCTCCCTTCTTCTCTGGAGCCAAAAGTGCCCCTGCCTCTGTCCTCTCAATTCTTGAGCTTCTTAACTCCCAAATTTCCTAGCAGGGAACAAAACCTTTGCCAGCAGAGGGAGTAATTGTGAGAAAGCTTTGGGTCTGAGTCCCGGTCATTTTTATCTTAACCTTTAGTTAGGGTCCTGTGCCTGGCTAGTTCAGAGATAACTTGGAGGTCCCTCCCCAATTTGCCTTAACCTCCAGGACGTGGCTCTTAGGAACTAATTAGGATCTCTTTCCTCCTGGACAAAGTCTGACACCTGGTGGCCACAGTGAGAGATGACTAGAAGGGTGCGGTTTCAGATCTTCTCCAGAATTTCTTCAGAACTGTTGGCCCAGGTCAAAGGGGAGCTGACCAGAGCTGGTGTGGAAAGTTCATGGGCAGAACAGACACAAGACCTAGGGAAAACTTCCTATTCCTCTACCCTGTACACCCATGAAGCTCAGAACATACCAGGCTGAGGAGCTGTGTCTGAGGGGGTAGGCAGGGACTAGGAGGAGAGCCTAAAGAAATACAACGTGGGAAAAGAATGAAGACAGCAAAAGGAAGATGTTTGGGGGGCTCATCTGGCTGCCCAGGATCCCTGAGCTGGAATGGTTTTCAGTTCAGAGTGAGTAGCAGGGCCGGGAGCCGGGGGAGAGTTGAGTGTGAGTGAGTGTGTGTGTGTGCGTGTGTATACAGTGCTGACCACACCCAGACTGCCAGACTTAAGCCAAGCTTAATCTGGGGTCCACTGGAACAGTCAGCGGTAAGTCTCAGCCCCTGTGAGTCTCGGTTCTGGGCTTCTGTTCAAGTTGTTTGTTCTTCTTTTTCCACGGGGACTTGAACCTAGAAAGGCTTTAGGTATTTCCAAGGTGCATGACTTAACTCCTAGTTCCAGCGCCAGCTTCTGAAGTCAGTGCTGACCAAGGACACTTCTCATACAAGACAGAACTTGAGCCCTCAACTCAGACCACCAGCCTTGTCTCCACTCTGAGAGCTGAACAACAATTTAGTGGATGGGCCCAGGAAGCTGCCTGTGTCAGGCAGAGTGTTCTAGGTAAGAAGGGAAAGAAGGTTAGGGAAGAAAGTTGGAAAACACACAACAATAGGAGGCCAAGGGCTACTCAGTTCTCCAAACACCTTAGAGAACCATCGGATGCTGAGCAGGCCAGGATGGTCCCAGTGCTGACTGAGAGAAGAGAGCATGCTTCTTAGGGAGAGCTCCCTCACTGGAAGGCCAGTGCTAGGGTTTCTGTACTCGGGCTGAACACGGGATCTCTAAGGGCTGACAGTGAGCTAGCTGGGCCTGAGCCTGGCAGAACCGGGGTGGGAGTTAGAGGGAGGGGAGACAGGTAGGAACGGCCCAGCCAGGATCCACAGAGCAGGTCAAGGTATCAGGGGCACCAAAGGAGAGAGGGGAATAGGCCCAGGCAGCAGTGGGAGCCGCTGTGGCCGCCCAGCGGCACACCCCATTTCACGCTTCCTGGGCGGTGGCAGGCCCCACGGCTATCAGCTTTCAGGGGTGGGAGGGCACAGGAATGAGGAGGGGTCTGCCCCACCCATGGCTCTCTGCTCCCTCGGGGCTTCATGGGCTCAGGAAGTGGGTGCCACATATCTTTGGGAACAGCCTCAGAGTCCCTTTCTGAAGCTCTTTTAGGAAGGAATGGTCAGTCTCATAGAGCCTAGAAGCTAGCCCACTATAGAGCACTCTGCCTCACTAGACCTAATGCCTGAGCCTTTCTCTTTCTTGAAGGGAATCCTAGCGGTCCCCTCCCTAACTCTGCATGGCCCCTTCTCCTCAGAAGTGGGCCCCACTTGTCCAGGAGACAGATGGGAAGCAGGCCTGGACCAACAACCCAAACAATGGGTCAGAGAAAGGCCTTATAGGTCTTCACAGTGTACCTACAGCTCCCTCTTCCTCAAGATGCTGATAAGGAAGGCCAGGCCAGATGGGGTCCCTGGAGTCACGGCCTTCTCCTCCCCACTGGTGGGCTCCTATCCAGGGTGATCTGTGTCTCCACACTCACAAAAACCCCATTGCTGCCTAAGCCATGTCTCAGGGCTTCAGAGAAGGAGGGCAAAGGCCTCCCAGCAGCCATCATTAGAGCCCACAGCCCGGAAGGAAGAACCGGATGGGCTCTCCAGAGTGAATTAGTGCTGGTCAGTCCCGGTGCTGGTTCCCAGACTCCCACTGGCCAGCACGTTCACCCGCTGCCAGGAAGTTGGTGAGGGGGAGGTGGTAGTAGGGGTGAGTCAGCGATGACAGGAGCCCCAAGACAAAGGTCATGAGGAGAGAACTGAGAGGCACTGTTTACAACAGTCTACCTCCTGGAGGTCTTCTCCCAGCACTTGCCAGCTCCTTGAGCTCTAAGGAGCCCTTCCTCCTGCCCTCCTGCCCAGGACTGACAACTGTGTGTGCCTCCCTGTAAGCTGGGGGCTTCTGGAGCATAAGGACAGCTGGTTACACAGCGTCTGTCACCAAGAGCCCTGGCCACAAGTTACCTACACCTCCCAACTGCCCAACAAAACAAAACTCTTTTGAGATATATATATATATATATATATATATATATATATATATATATATATATATATAT